ATTAGTTACTTGCATGCAACCTTCTAAGCACAAAGAAATTGCCCATACCTATATCAGCTAGCTATAAATTAATTCCACAACTTGCAACGTTTAATCCATTCTTAGCAATGTGTGGTGTTGGATATCCACAGAGGTCGAAAATTAACATAACTCCATAAATCATATCTCAATTGCAAGGTCTCAAGGTGGAAAATAAATCCACATATCATTAATGGATTAGCTGGAATATTAAGTCCTTTATTACTTGACCTAACACAATTTTCCCAACTGTTATAAAATTGATCTCCAGAGTATAAAGTTGTGGAGCAAACATTTAAGGAAACTCACCGACCAAGCAAATTAAGAATCAAAATTCTTCACATGACCAAATCTTTAATTACTCATCACTAAAAAGTTTAACCCCCTAACCACGACAAAAAAAAAAAAAAAGACAATTAATAATCACAAGAATGAAACTAACCAGTTTTCATAAAAGGTACGTTACTATTAACTATACGATGTAATTTAATTAGAAAAGGCAAGGAATTTATGCGATGCAATTTAATTAGAAAAAAATAAGGGATTTAGCATGCGTTGTGACAATCGAATCTGATCGATCGATTTGACAGGTTAAACTGGAAATTAGTCACTTAATTAATCCAAAAAATCATAAAATAGATATGTAAAAGAACCTGTTAAAAACTAGATGAATGGACTCAAATCAATTAAAAATTAATTTAGAAAATCGAATTGAATCATATGGCAGCAATTTTGATTGTTCATTCGTCTCATTCACACCAACTACAATGTTCCATGTATATTTTGACTTTGTATAGTTGTTGTTTTTATATGTAAAAAAATTAACTAATAATAAATATACCTTTATAATATTAAATTAATACATATTTTTTTTCTTATTTTATTATCTAGTAATACATTATTTTATAAATCACATGTATTATTTATTAAATACAATTAATTTTGTTCAAATCAAATAAAATTATTATGAGTACATATTTCTTTATCTAAATATTTAATACAATTGTGTTTATAGAATATCAATTCAAAACCTCTAGTTTTTTTTTTAACATAATTTCATGACAATTGATATATAACTATACAATTTTTTCCCTTTTTTTTTTTTTTTCTTTCTCTCTATCTCTAATAGATGTCAGTTATCTTGTAATACTTTCATCAAATTAATCTTCTCCCATGTCTCTCTTTATACTATTTCGATCAAAATTCAAAATAAGGATGCGTTGTAAAGATATAAGTATAATTTACAGCTTAAATAATGTTAGTTATATTTTTGGGTAAAAAAATAATGTTTGTTTTCATCTTTGAAGTTAATTTTCAAATTAATAGTTTGAGATTAAAACCTACTTATATATATAAAAGAAGTGGATTCAAAATTGTAATTCTTTAACCTTTATCTTTATTATATATATGTTTTTAACTTTTCATAAGTCATAACAAGGTATGGGAACGCCTTAGTCAATCAACACATTCAAATTAAAACAAAATCATTTAACATATTTTTAAAAGAATGTAAAATATGCATGATATCATATCCATTCATTTTCCTAAAACACAAGATTAGCAAAATGTTATGTTCAAATCAACCCATTTTATTTAAAAAAAAAATAATTTTACATTCTTTTAAAAAATTGCAAAAATACTCAAAAGGTGGTATACAATCATATTTTCAAAGCATATAATCAATAGAATGTGACTGAAAAAAGGTATATTTAGAGAGGTCAACGTTAATCTTATTACCTCAAGATTTACACTAAAAATTTGAGGTAAAACTAATAATGATTAACCGATTAATAATTCTCGGTTTTGGGTTAGCCTAGGGATTTTGGCCCAGCAGCGTCACAACAAAAATAAACAAAAAACTTAATGGGCTGAGCCCAACCTATTATTCTTTTTTTTTTGGTTCATCCTGGAATATCCATCACCGATAGCGGTGACTAATCTCCTCGCTATGTTTGACACACCTCGAAAAGTGGGATAACTGGCCCCAAGATTTAACGCGGCTGCATACACAAGGTAAGATTCGAACTCCTAATTTTGCTTAAGCGTCGTTTGGGGTTAACCCAACCTATTATTCTAAGAAGAAGTGATTTACTCCCTACACCTAACAAATTACTCCACACAGCCTTCTTCTCCATCTTCCTCATTTTGCCACCCAACTCAGATGGTCTCGGTCACTCGTTGGTTCCATTCTGGAACAACTATGTCATCGACTTCTTCACATCTCTTCTTCTTTTAGGTAAGCTTTTGTGCTTTAAATTATTATTATTATTATCATTTGTGTGGTTGTTTTCGATGTATGTGTTACAGAATACTTTTTTTCCTGAAATGATCCAGAACACTTATTTCAACATGGTCACCTATTCCAAAATAAAAAATAAAAAATTATGAAATGAGTGTTCCAAAACTTATAAAGGCAACAAATGCATTTAAAATAATCTTATAGAGTCGAAGTATTTCATGTTTTATATTTTATTTAAAAGATATATTTAAAAATTATTAATATTTGATAGATTAATTATTATTACATTTGATATTCATACTTAAAAATTTAGAATTTAAATTTTATTTTTATATAAAGAATTAATTTTTAATATTATTTTTTATTACTTCAAAATTTAAGGATAAAATTCTCTAAATCCGATATTTTGCTGAATGTAGAGAGTAAATCCTTGAGAATAAACAACTAAGCCCAGCCCATTATGAGACGATAAATGAATTGGGCTAAATACAGGTTCCTGAACAATAGGAAATGACGGAAAAACAAAATTTGTTGGATAAATATTGGTCAGTTTAAAATTGATTTATTGATGTAAAATATGTTATCTGATTTTTATTTAACGGATCCAATTTGTTGGATGCATTAATGTATGGAGAAACTGAGATAAGGAAATCTAAGTCCGTAAAGTAAGAGCCTTTGGAGAAATACCTTATACCTCGGATTTTCAACCACCAGATATTTGGAGATCCAACGACATAAACAATTTAGATCATAATATATACACTTCCTTTTTTTTTCTTTTTTTTTTTTATAAATACACCCCCTTTTTGTAAAAAAAATAATTAAATTCTTAAAATGTTCTTAATTTTTAATTTTTTAATTTTATATTTCTAATATTTAATTTAACACTTTTTTTACATGTTTCTTTCCTTTATTTTCACATGTACCCCCTTAATTTTTTTTCACCTCTACCTATTTTGGTAAGTAATTTTAATTCTTATAGTTTTATATTATTCTTTTACCTTTCCTCTTTCATTTTTCTCACTAATTTCACTATCTGCATAGTACTCTAGAATAGTAAAAATGTTTTTTTTCATAACACTATACTTAATGGTAAGGTTTTTGGAGGGGTAAAAGAAAAAGAAGTGTTGGAAGAAAAAATTTGTGTCAATTTGATAAAAAAATTGTCGAGAAAACTATACGTACCTACAATGTTGTCGTCTACCAGTTTTATGGCTTTGGTGCATGTGAAAAAGTGAAAGAAGTGATAAAATAAGAGTAATATACAAATCGAGAAAACTAAAATTACCTACTAAAATAGGTGAGGAATTAGAGGAAGACAAGATAGTGCATGTGAAAACTAGAAAAAAGAAGGAAGGAGGTGTATGAAAAGAAAAAATAATAAATTAAAAGTTAGAGATATAAAATTAAAAATTTAAAGAATAAAAAAAATTATAAATATTTTAGAATTTTTATAAAAAAAAATTAAAGGAGGTGTACTTATAAGAAAATGGGGTGTATATATCATTAGCCAAACAATTTTCCTTTCAAAAACTGATGATGGGCCTTATGACCAACTCCAACCGCACACTGCAGTAGCGGGCTCTCTTAAGCCCAATAATAGAATCCATAATCTCTCGTGGCTGACACTTCATCTTTCCTTTTAACGTAGTCCTAACCCATGAACAGAAGCCTAAAAGCATGGTGGCGGCATGCAGTTAAGTTCAATTAGTCAATTTCGTTAAATAAACTTTAGCCACCCACTTGGGTACGGTAAAAGAATGTTGTGGGCGTTTGAGGTCAACCTAATTAAGCAATTAACAAAATACGAATCAACAAAAGCATATCCTTTTCTTAATCTTTGAGCATTCTGGCACCGAAAGTGGTGAAAAACACCCTACAGTTATTATGATGATCATTATTATTACAGTGAAACAAAAATGGGTGAAATAATCGGTGGGTTCCCCCTGTTTTAGAGTGTGGCATATCGTTTTTGTGCCCCTTGTAAATTAAACTAGTTTCGTTTGCCGCTGCACCCTCGAATTTCTCCGATGACTAAGGGATCTTTGTTTTGTCTTGGCCAACCGTTTTGACATGGAAACCCACTGACTCACAAATCACAATGTACCTTCAATAATCCTTCTCCCAAATAAGTAACAATGTTTTCCATCTCACCGTTTGAGTCAATACAGTGCCTATATAGGTATAATGTGTAAAGTGTAAACTAAACTCTTTTTCATTATTATTCAATCACAGAGATTCTCATGTATTGTATTGATAATGTAAAATTTTTATACTAACAACACATAAAAATTAAACTCATTTTGTTTCATATATACAACAGTATATCAACTGCTACTTTGTTACGTTGTTCTATTATAAAGACAAAAATTAGGTAAAGTGATGCACACAATAATAATATAATACTCATAAATACTTTCACTTAAATTATTTAACTAAATTTTAACGTTGAATTAATATAATAATATGAATCCGAGTGTTCTAGAAGAAACATTTTCCTATTGGCATGTGTGCCACATGAAAGAACCCAACCCATTATTCAACTTTACGAAGACCACTAACCAACATCTTAAAACTTGGTCGGCAAGCATTCGAATTCAAAACCTACGTCCGAAAAGCAAGCAAACAAACAACGGTCAGAAAAAGCAAAGAAGGAACCAAACCCTAACAATAACAGTTACTAGTTTGTGCTATATATAAAGTATAAACCCTAACTATTAACTAACCAACACAATATCACAAAAGTTAGTTAGTATAACCGATCGAGAGGAAAGATGAGTGTGGAAATAGTAGACGGTGCGACGATATTATGTTTTGTGGAGGACGAGGAAGCGTTCAGCGTGTGCGTGAGCGACCTCTTCGCGCAACTTGACACGAACAAAGACGGTGTTCTGTCGTACGCGGAGATGGTGAAGGAGTTGCAGAGGCTGAGGGTGTTGGAGACTCACTTCGGCGTGGACGTGAAGCGTGACCCCGAGGAGGTGGCACGTGTGTACGAGTCCATGTTCGTGCAATTTGATCACGACTTGGATGGGAGGGTTGACCTAGAAGAGTTCAAGGAGGAGACGAAGCAGATAATGCTTGCCATGGCTGATGGACTCGGCTCTTTACCTCTTCAGATGGCCCTTGAACACGATAGCCTCCTCATGAAAGCCGTTCAACGACAATCCTAACTTTCTCTTCAACCACAATCTATATGCCATGCATGCTGGCTCATTTATATTTATGTTTTTGTGTTTTGAATTTTCATTCCTATATATTGTTGTTAGTTAAGGGGCATACTTGAGCTTGTTCATTGCGTCATTGCTCATTTCCCTGGATTATTTTTGTTCATTTTTCTTTTGTATTCTGTTTGTTTTGTAATCTTGTGAAGAGTTTAAGCCATGCACGAGGATTAAACTGAATACTAGAGGATCATGTTTCTTATCCAAATTACTTTTATCATTTTCTACATCTTGTAAATTTATATTATATCAGTTTCGTATTAATAACCTATTTAACGGTAGATAGTAGAAAATAATAGAGGTAAATAGGAAATTTTTTTAGAATGATTAAAAATAAATGTATATTTAAGCATTTTGGTAATGTGTGCTCCCCTTCTTAAGAGAGATTCCGTGGCAGGCAATCTAAGTTAGAAACTTCCCTTGACGATCGTAAACTCATCAACAAAATGAACTAAAAAATTATGGTATTCTTTTTACATCCCCTCCTCTTTTAACCCTTTTTTTTTTTTTTTTTTTTCATTCAATCAAACAATAGTAGAAATGAAAGAGAAGGGGTGTGAGCCAACAGGAGAAGAAGTGTGAATGAAAAAAGAGTAATTTAGGTATGAATTTAATATTCGTGTAAAAAAAAAATGGGATGCGAATAGTGTAGTCCCAAAAATTAACGATGCCCAACTTCATTTCTTTTTGGTATGTATATCCAACATCATTGGAACCACTTTTTTGTCTCGCCCGGCCTTATTCAACAACTACCATCCACGAAAGCCCAAATCCATCAAGAGCCTCACGAATCCGAGTGACACAAAGGAGTTAGAAGATGTTACAAGAATTAGGGGGAATAATATTTCCACTTCATTTAGTTTCTTCTCATTTTATCTATTTTTTAAATTTTAAAATAATAACATATGAGAAAGATTAATTTTTTTAAGAGAGAAAATGAATGGTTAGGATTATGAACTCACCTTGGGTTTAAATTTGTCCATGTCACTTTTCTTTATTAGTGAAGGATTTATTGCGATAATAGTTATATTTTTAAAGATTAATTAGAAAGATTTAAAAGTTCGCGATTATAATTTGTAAAGGGATTTTCTTTTGTTATCCTAATAACACGTGGTTCGAAAGTATTTTAAGAAAAATATATTGTATTTTTTGTGTTTAATTTAAAACAATATAAATCACTGTTTAAGAAATTAATATTTTATGAATTACTATGCTAGAAAAAAACAGTTTTAAATTTTTAACCAATGTATACCTGTGAGATGGACTTTTATATACAATAATTTTTTTTTCTTTTAATAAACATTTCCATAGTTAATTTTTTATTTATTTATTAAACGTACATCAACATTCAACGCCCAATAGAAAAGTCAATAATTTATGAAAGTTCAAAGTTCAAGGAAACTACATGTTGTTTTTGGAAAATAAATAAGATATGTTCCAACACTTGTTAAAACTACATTAAAGTTAAAATTTAATATAAAAACTTTTAAAAATAAAATAAGTTGTTCAATAACTTTTATTTCTTTTAACTTAAAAGAAATAATTTAAAAGAAAACATAAAGATAAAAGAGAGAAGGGAAGGGAGTAGGGATGTAACGAATCCATAGATTACTACATTTATTATTGATAAACTATTACGTAGCAGAATATTAACAATATGCATCAGAAGATAGAGTTTATCATATAGTCAATAATAATATCTTGTACATATAAGTTATATACAAATATAGTATTAGGAGTAAAATATATCTAAGTTTCGATTGATATTTATACAATACATAACTACATCAAAATAGCCATCAATAAGAAATAAAGTCAACTCTAACGTGACTAGCCTCCAATTGCACAAGTCATCCTACTAATCCTATCATAATATGATCATCGTAATTCTAACCACAAGAAAAACACAAAATAAACTTATAAAAAGAATTCTATAATCAAGATTAAGCACCTTTTAACTGCTACATCATAATCAACGGAAATAATCATCAAAACCATCATATCAAAATACAACAACTCACAACATAATGACAAATTTCACACAACACTTAATCAACTTCAACATATTCAACATTTCAACACATAAGATTATATTTAATGCATTGTCACGCATATCAACTTTGAAAATCTCTTAACACATGTGATGAGCAGTTCAAGCAGCTAAACCCTATCGAAACACACCCTAGCGTCTGACATGAACCTAGGTAGAGACAAGTCTCTTATCTCATGTTTGACATCATTCAACCCACAACCAACGTGGTTCAAATCCAAGACAAGTCTCTTTCTTCATGCCCGACACCACCGATCTTATGCTCGACGTGAGTAAGATAAATATCTCTCTTTGGAGTCATGCACGCCCAGTGTTAATATCAACTTTGACACTTGTGTAGAACCTAATTTTGTCCAATCTCTTGAAAATAAGCAAATCCCAACAATATGCAACTCAATCAACAACATAGATACTACACATACAACACGATTTCATCATCAACAATAACATGCAGCCATATAAATTCCTCATAAGGCAACCAAGAGCTAAAAGTTCAACCACTCATCATCCCATCACAAAATCTACTCAACCAACAACATTAAAGCAACACCAACAACTAAAATTCAACTTGAAATCTAAACTTAGGAATCACAAAGCTTCCCTTACCTCTTAGAGAATCAATCTGCAAGGGGAAAAAAGATGATTTTGCATGACTTTGACTTGATTCTTTCGCTTCACAACTTTGATCTTAGCCTTTTACTAACACTTCAACTACAAGAGGTAAGAAAAGGAAAGTTTTTTGAGAAATTCTATGGTACCAATCTTATTTGAGAGGGTACCGGTACAGTTTTTTATATTTTATATTTTTAATATTTTATTTAAATAATATTTATGATATTTTATTCTTTTAATTTTTAAACTATTTAGTTATTTTATTTTTATTTTATATATTCTAATTTATTTGTAATAATATTATTATATATTTAAATAGTTTAATTTTAATAAAGGGAGAAGGTTAGAAAAAAAATGGAGAGGGTTAGAAAAAAATGGAGAGGGTTTGGGGCATGCCTGTCGGGAGCCAGCCACCATCGGAACCGCCGGATGGGGGC